TCCAGTTTGCAGGTATTTCTAATCTAATGATTAGTATTTAGGACAGCGTTTTGCAAGCAAAGAAGCTTTTTGTATTTTTGTACAGGTAATCCTTGATTTACAACAGTTACAATGGCACTGAAAAAAAGTGACTTATGACCATTGCAGCAAACTGTCATTAGGGCAAAGAAGTGATACCACATGACCACCTGGCCATGTCCATCCGGTCACATGAAGCACCACAGTTGTGAAATGAGTGACACGGTTGTTAAGAATGCTGCAACGGGCATAAATGATGAGCGGTCATAAGTGCGAGGACTGGTCAAAAGTGCGAGGCAGAAATCACTTTTTTCAGCCCTCTGGGTAGTCCCTATGTGCATATGGACTACTCAGAGGGCTGAAAAAGTTATTTTTGACTGGTCCTCGCACGTTTGACCGGTCCTCACACTTATGACTGCCCTCACATTTTACGTTTTGTGCCCTATCTTGTCACCGTGGAGAAGAGAAGCAGTTGTGAAATGAGTGACATGGTTGTTAAGAATGCTGCAACGGGCATAAATGTGAGGATGGTCATAAGTGTGAGGACCAGTCAAAAGTGCTAGGACTGGTCAGAAATGACTTTTTGCAGCCCTCTGAATAGTCCCTATGCACATAGCCACAGCCACCCAGTCAAATGACCAGCTAGCCATGCCCACCCAGTCACATGACCACCAAGCCATGCCCCCAAATAAGCCACGCCCACAGAACCGGTTGTTAAAAAGACTGAATCCCACCACTGGGCAAAATTAACTTAAGAAATGTTTCACTTAGCAACAGAAATTTTGGACTCCGTTGTGGTTGTAAGTCGAGGACTACCTGTATAGTACTTCTTTTGTTCTATTCCATCACTGACCAAATATCTGCAGATATTGTACTTTCAGCCAGCTGTTCATACTTTTTACTATAGCAGGGAAATATTGGTTGTGAGGGTAGAATATAGAGGAATTAAAGATGATTAAGACTTTTTCCTTATTAGCCCTGTGGTAAATATTAGAAATTATATTTCTAATCTGTTATTCCAGAATGGTTCTTTCTGTCAAAAGTTCAACTCCTGCTTTGCTACATAATAAGATGGTACAGTCATTTCCCAATCTCCCCTGCAGGACTCCATTTGGCTTTCGATGGTATGTTATTGTTTTTTGTTGCTCCAGGATTATTAAACGGGTGTGTGGTATGAGAAATTGAATGAATATTCTTCCCTCCTGGTACTGTTTATTTCTTTTAATTAGGAGTGAATTTCTCTGTGTGTCTGTTTCCAAGTCAGCCTTAACTGATTTCAAGAACACTTGATGCATACCTACACACATAAGATTGCAGCCTTAGTTCTACTAAAAGAAGCTAAGTGGCTATGAAATGCATATCTAAAATAACAGTAAACACTGGGAGGTTGGAGGAACCTCCCAATAACCAGAAGTAGCACTCTACCAGAACAAACAAAACAATTCCTATAACCAGCAGCAAGGTAATTAAAAAGTAATCAGTGCCACTGATCACTGAAGGCATTTTTCTGACAGCAGGATTCTCGTTCTTCAGTCCCTCCAAGTCACTCTGAAGCTGGAGCCCAGAGAGCAGGCGAGGAAAATGGAGTTAATCTGTGCTCTCCCTCTAGCTGAGCAATCAGAGTGTAAAAATTTATTAAATCACTACCTTGTTCCAACCTACTACAGACTGTAAAACAACAAACATCCTCTTACTCTCTACTCCACATGCAAAATAAATATAATAAACTACTCTATCCAGTCTGGGTTTCTGTACATTTATCTGGGCGTGGTATATGTGTGTAGTTGTGTGTGGGGGAAGGGAACATTTTGTATAAAGCTGTCAAAGCACCATCCCTGTGTTACATTTAAAGCCTTTTGCTACCTGTGGTGGTAAAAGATATGCTAACATTTTTGGCAAGCTGATGCTTTTGCCAGTAGCTATAATCATTCAAGTTGCTTTGGCAGCTACAGTGGAGGAAGGGATGATACTTGTCATAGGAAATTCAGAAGTACAGAGCATAACACTGAGGAAAAGCGCCATGTTTATTGTGCTGATAATTGCACTGCATTGAATGTCAGGTGACTGCTTTACAAAAAAAGAGGGAGCCTGCACAATGACTCCCTTTTTACAACCCTTTAATCCCTTAATAAGGAGTACAGTCAGGGCTGGATAGAAAAGCAATTTTTTTAATAGAAATTGAGGGTTACAAGGTGGGAAATCCTAGGGATCCGATTTTCTGGAAACTTTTGAGGGAGCTAAGTAGGGTCGTGTCCCTGTACCTGCTGAGGAAACCCATTATTATTGAGATGGGTCTTGAGGCAACCACATAGATTGGGGTTTTTTTAATTTACAATGCTATGTTGCAACTCCCTTATTAGGCTGCCCTTGGCTGCCCTTTGAGCCAGTGAGGAGGCTTCTGTTCTTTGGTTTAGATGGGATTGCAGAGATCAGGAAGGGTCAATTTGGGTCTGAGTGGATTAGACAAACGGACGAGTTGAGTTTCACCCTGATCATGTCCAAAACACAGGGAGGAAAAAGAATGCAACCTCCATTTTGTTTGTTAGATTTCTTTTTCTTCACTACATACCCAAAATGTATACAGTAGACATGTATCTCTAGAAACAGGTACAAGCAATCCTTGTTATTTGCAGATTCTGTATTTGTGAATTCATTTCTTTGTTAAAATAGATTTGTACCTGCAAAATCAATACCCATGGTGCTTTTTTGGTTATTTGCAGACACACAGAACATTTGAGTTGCCAGATGCATACATTGCCAGGTGGCTTTAAACTCACTAATTCAATATTTGTGGTGACCTAATAGAACATAACTACAACGAATAATGAGAATTGACTATGTCAGAAACAGGGTATTGATAGTTGCCTTATAACAACAGCAGCAACAGAAATTTATTTTCACCACAAAAGCTTAAAAGATCCAGGTGCTTGGCAGCAACTGGTTCCTGCTAGAAGACAGGAGGGAATCAGGCATAATCCATTTTAACTTCTCACTGTTTCTCTTGCTTTAGCTATAGTCCTGGGCACTGGGGGAATGTTGCAAGAATTTGCATAGAGCCAAAATAGCTCAGATCAATGCCAGGTGTATTTTAAAGTGAAGTCAGCAGTGTTGCTATGTAAATCTGTAAAACCATCAAGCCACCTGGTCCCTTTTAAGGACCCATAGCTGAATACTACGGTATCAGTTGGAGCTGGGTGTGGAGAGGCAGGATGAGAGAAGAATTCTTACTACGACTTATCTGAACACAGAGCTACTATATGACATTCCTCCCTTTGGTTGTTAGTTCTGATATATTTCTCTCAGTAGAATTAATCAGTCTAGCAGCCAAATACTAACAATTGACTAGGAACTAATTTCAGAGAGGCACAAATACCCACATGTGTATTTGTGTAGGATAGTTACGTTTTTTTCTCACATAATATATTTGAAAGGTATAAACTTTAAAAACAAGCAAATGAGTCTGGCTGGGATGAACTTTTTTAGGGACAGATTCTAGAACAATGATGCCAAGACTGAAAAAGCTTTGTATCTCGTGCCACAAAATGGAGAATCTTTGGCTTATGGGCCTATTCAGGGCAACACATTTCTTGCCATGATTAAAAACGTGAGTTTTTTTTAGCTCAGCAGATTTTGGTGCAGTGGTTGGAGTGCAGTACATCAGGCTAATTTTGCTGCCTGCTGGCTGCCTGCAATTTGGGAGTTCAAATCTCAGGGTTGACTCATACTTCCGAGGTAAAATGGGTAAAATGAGGACCCAAATTGTTGGGGGCAATATGCTGACTCTGTAAACCGCTTAGAGAGGTCCGTAAAGCACTGTAAAGCGGTATATAAGTCTAAGTGCTAAAATGATATCAACAAACAGTACACAAAGGTCTAGAATAGTTATAGGTTACCTGAAAAGAAATGGGTTTGGTCTTCCAAATCCATTCCATTCCCATTCAGAAATTGCACTAATCATAACATAATTATGTGGGAATCCAGTTAGTTGTGACTTAGTCAATGAACCGAGTTTTTCACAAAAAATAATATACAATACATTATGCATTCTCAGTGATTGTATGATTTCAGAGGGAAATGAAATAACTAGCTACATTTTGTCCCCAGAAGAGATGACTGGGAGGGACATATGATAGTAATCTTCAAATAGCAGGAGGTTTGTTTCGTAGAAGAAAGAGTGGACTTACTATCCCAAAGGGCAGGACCAGAACCTATGGGTTAAAATTACAAGTAAGTATGCTCAGGTTAGATGCAAGGAGGAACCAGTGCCACAGAAGGTAGAGAGGTCAGTTTGCTAGAGGTCTTCCAACAGAGCCAGGATAGACATCTTCCAGAGATATACTGAACTGAGCAGGGGGCCAGCTTAGATAACTTCTACTACCCCTTCCAACTCTCCGATTCTAAATTTTTATGCAAAAGTGGTAAGCACTGATTCAATGAGGCATAATCATCAATCTGTCATATTATCTACTTCACAGGATTATTTGTGAGATATATGACAAGAGAATTGCAAAACAATTTGTTCCCTCAGTAATACTTTAATCCAGTCAGTAATTGTTATCTAAAAGAAAGCATGAATGAGGAAAGACTGTGAGGTGGCAATTTTGTCCCCTCAGTAAGCAGAAGGTGCATATCTCTCTCTCTCTCTCTCTCTCTCTCTCTCTCTCTCTCTCTCTCTCTCACACACACACACACACACACACACCCTAGAGAATTTAGTGCATCTTTGCAATGTATGTTTGATCATGTTATTGACTCCTGGAAGCAAAGGCTCAGCGCACACAATCCCCTTTCCTATTATCGTTGAGAGTTTTTCAGAAATAAGGTGCCGCCAGGTCACTCCAGTGCTTGTCATGCAAACCCCAGGAGAGACAGGCCAGCAAAATCTCTTCCTCACGCCACTGGCATCTCAAGACTCCTTAGAAAACATGGTTGCTATGCAGCCTTGTTTGTTCACGGTAGGTGACACTGTTTGCTGCCCTGCATGTGTAACCTGCAAGTGCAAGCTTATTAGCCTAGTGCTGAAGAGGGTTGGCCTTGAAGAGATACCCACAGCTTTTGAAAGCTGCCGAGGAAGGACAAAATTATTAAGGGGAAAGGAAAGCACTTGTACCCACCTTCTGAGGCTCTGCCACACACAGCCCATTTGTTCAGGATCCTGACATAAAAGCCTAGAGCAGGTGAGTGACAAGAACGGACTTCACTGCTATTTGAGGGATCAGCCCTTTCCTCTAAGGCTGTTTACTTTGCCACAAGCACACAGCCTGTAGAACCTGTCATGCAGCCCCTAAGCTATTTGGTATTTATTTTTTAATTAAGGGATAAATTCTGTTCCAGATCTGGTATGAGGTTTCCTAGGTGGAGAGGCTATTCAAACCCTCCAAAGAGAGGAGTAGCTATTTCTGGAAAAGTGAAAAAAAGGCCCTCCACAAGAACCTTATAAGGAGTACTGTAAGAGTATAATTTAGGACTGAAGCTGAGGAGGACATGACACTTCTGGTGGCCGATGAAATAGCTGGAAATTTTCAATGGCCTCTGTGAAAAAGAGTGATAATATAGTAGTTCATAGGGAAGAAAATAATCTCAGAGTAATTTACCAGCCATCCAATAGTTTTATCTTTTTGTAAATGGTGAGGTGGAATACTGGAGGGAAAAATCATCAGGTGGAAAGGTGCATGTATGGGCTTATCCACTGTGGCTGAGAGTTATGGAAGCTGAAGTCCATAACCATCCCAAAACAGATTTACAGCATCCAGGATGCTGGGCTTGCTCCAGTGCAACCTCCATTTAATATTCATAAGTTATATTAGGCAGTGTTTGTTCTTGTCTTAATGTAATGCACAAATTTACCAACAGTGGATTAATATTATGCATGAATTACTTTGGTGTGTTCAATAAACGAAATCTGTTTAAATATGTCCAATTGCTTTCATCAAATATGTGAAAAGTAGAAACCCAGCAACTCTCTGGAAAGCTAGTTTACTTGCAAGATACCTTGCATTATACACGATTTGTGGCATTTTTTCTGGAAAAAGACAGAACACAGCTCATGGTACCAAAATTCCTAAAGTAGATAATCTCAAATTCCTTTTTATTAGAATTCAAGCAATCTACAATTTAAACAAACAGGGATAATTTAAGTTATATTGCTTTGAACTATGAAGCTCTACCAAAAACCTCATAAGCTTCCAATTTTTGCTAGAAATTTGAATAATGTTCTGATGGCTGTGTTACTAAAATATTTTGCAATGTCTGATAGTCCAACAATATGGATCAATGTTTTTGGTTTTTTACTGGGAAGTTTGAAAAACTGGCAGAGATGCCATTCATCTGATGTTGATTGTTGACTTTGGCAATGTAAAGACATGATGTTTTCTGCTTGTTCAAAAGATTCAAGTCTTTCTTATTGTGTCTAAACCTGGGAATGATTTCTCTGAATATCTCTCTAACCCCACTAGGGGTGGGTTCTACTTACCTTTACTATCGGTTCGCAACGGGGCCGCGCAGAAGCATGACGTCAGGGTCAGTTGGCGGGGTCTCCTGCAGGTTTTACTATCCGGTTCTATAGAACCGGTGAGAACCGGGGGCAACCCACCACTGAATCCCACCATTCTTATATCCTTCAAGCTTTTTCTCATAGTTTACTGCAGTTTTTCTCAACTTTAGCAACTTTAAGATGTGAGGATTTCAACTTCCAAAATTTCTCAGCCATAGGACTTGCTGGGAATTCTTTGAATTGAATTCCACATATCTTAAAGTTACTGAAGTTGATAAACATGGCCTTATTGTACCTGATGCCTTGAGGAATTCTAAGTGTATGAAGGAACTCCAGACTCTTCTACTTCCCATCCATCTCTACTTCCTGTGCTATTTCTCTCTCTTGAATGGTAGGTCCAGGTTTCTCTGGAAATCCCTGTTGTGTCAGTGCTGCATAAGTATAACAAGTGAACTGAATGAAGGCTGAAGTATTATTCTGTGCCTCTCCCTAGTAAAGATAGTAAAATCCAGGCCCTCTTTGGAGAAACTGATTTGATCCATAGATACGATCCATAGATACAGGCTGCAAGATCTGTGAGGCAACACTTGTTCTTTCCTTCTGGAAATTCCTGAGAAAGTTTTTAAATTTCTGGCCATTTTCTTGCCATTGACAAGAAAGCTTCAAGATTTTCAGTTCCCCATGGGGTATGAAGCAGACGCTCCCACAGCACATTATTAGAGATGTTTGCTGGTACTCTCTCTCCCTCTGGATTATTGCTTTGCTGCTTGATACTACCGCAGCACAGTGTGCCTCAGCGCTGATGCTAGAAATTGTTTTAGAACATGGAGAGGGGAAGATGACAACTTTTTCTAGCCTAGAATCTCTTGTCCCCCAAGTACAAAAAGCAAATAAGAAGCCGAAGTGGGCAAAAAAGTAAAACAGACCTAAGCCTACTGATCTTCTCTTTGATGGTAAGAGGGAAGCTACAAAATATCTGAGCAATTTAAGATTGGCAAACTTTTTAATCAACTAATCAAACTATCTTTCATGAATAGTGTGAGTCTGGTGAGTTGTTTCTAGGCAGTTGACCATTCTGTAATGATCTCTTCTGGCTTCACGAAATGTGTGAAAATCAGCAGTTATAGACTTGAGAGATGTTCATATCATTCTTGGCTCACTCACTTAATAAGTGTGACATAGTCACACTTCCCTGATAAAAGACCAACTAAAAATTTCTCAGGCAACCTTTTTTCTTTCTTGTAGTCTAGTTAAACCGAAGTGGCAGAGCTGAGCTTTAGAGTTTGGCTATATATATTTTAGAGTTATTAGAACATAATCATTCAATAATTCTTCCAGGATACCTGAATGGACCGTGTCAAGTCTTACTTCTGAATTGTAAAACAGAACTATCGATCCATAATCTTGACTCTTGTATTCCTTTGACCCAAAAGCTGCATTATTACTTCTGTCTGCACATTTATAGGTTATGACAAGAAGTTAGAACAGGTTTTCCCTTTCCTGGTTATGGAAAAATAAACTAAAATAAATAAAAAAGATTTTTGATTCTTTATCATGTTAATCTAAATCTCTGTGTTAAGAAATATTGAAAAAAACTTGGTTTGGATGTCATTTGGATTAGTCCTAATATATGTATATTACTCAGTATGGATTTCATTTTTCTTCTTCCTTTTAATGTAAAACATATCTATATATTCATTTAGCATAATATATTTGGCTTTTATTAGTTAATGGGAGGAACAAAGAATGATGCATCCTGCCTTTAGATCCTACATAGACTGAACTTATATCCTTGCCCCTCTGAATGGCACCAGTACCTCTTCCTGTTGGAACTTGGCTTTCTTGTAACATTAGAAGCATACAATTTGCATTTTAGGAGAGTCAAGATCAGTGGTCTGCTTCTGTAGAATCATAGACTATTGTTTTTCCAGAACACATACGGTTTCAAAATGCTCAACTGTTTCTTTCTGCTTCTTTCTTGACTGTTCTATCTCCATAACTTTCCTTTTTATGTGTATTCCTCATTTCCTTCCTTTAGATTAAGTAAAGTTTTACATTCAAACGTGTTATAGGTTAACCCTAAAGCAGTCATTCTGCTAGATAAATGAAATGGCTATATTGATTAGGATGGCTTGGCCAACATTCTGGCTAGTATTTTGCTTACTTAACATTTATTTTAGCAGCAGCATTACACATATGAGATGGTGCCTACTCATAGGACTTAACCAGCTGGAAAGTTATGTAATTTTATTTCAGTCCCCCCCACTTTTTTTCCTTATCTTTTCAGTGAGTTCACAGCTCTACAGACCATTCATATCTGCAAAGCAAAGTTAGTAGCCAGATGGTCTCTTTATCCATTAAGCAGCAAGCAGCTGTCTCCCTATTATTATCTTGGATTATAATCGCTATGTCCAAAATTGAAATCTTATTCTCCTATGTACAATGCAAGAACATTCAGTATAAAATAATCAGGAAAGATTAAATGTTGAAATAAGAGATTTTGCTGCAGTTTTCATTGTTAGTTGAAATATATTTTTAGGTGAACTCTACTTAGCCCATTGCAGAAATTATTTAATGAACATGAATTTATGAGGCATGGAAAGTGAGGTTTTAGCTTGTGGAGTCATGCAGAAAGGAATAAGTAGGAAAGTCAAATCATGAAGGTAATATACAAATGGCCTAATTTTTGCAATGAAAAGGTAATTAGGTGGGAACTTGATTTTTGCCCTTCCTTCCGAGTCCACTCTAGAGAGGCAATTAAAAACTCAGAGAAGTGACATACTAAAGCATGCTGTGATTCCTCAAGTAAATGGTGGGCTGAATGCCAAAAGACCTATGTCCCAGTATTGATAGACAAAGTGATGAAATCAGGTTCAGGAGCTTTTTGTGCTGACTTTGATTGTACAGTTTAGCTCAGAACAAAAAGTTCTTCACTCATGCAGATGTCAAAATGCAAAGCACTAAGAACTCACTGCTTTCAGTGTTTCAGTGGTAAATTCAAGTATGAAAATTTAGAATATGAAAGGTTTTCCAGCCAGACTTAAAATGTAAACATTTCTTCACACTTTTGATATTAATGGCCAAATCTCTCCCTTTTTCTCTACTCAAAATCGATAATTATTTTGCACTGGTTTTAATTATTTTAGAACTGTTTGGCACGCAGGGTCACTTGGTTGGGATGGATGGCAATAGAAATTAAATAAATAAAAATAATATATAATCTGTAACTGTATCTAGCCTATACTTGAACTAGTTCCCTATTTACTGATATGCCTGGCTTTGAGGAAATATATTAAATACATATTCAATACATTGGGAGCGGCTTTAAGGAAAACAGAAAGTGAATAGAGAGACCTGATATTCAGCATATGGTGGGCCTGTATTTGTGGTGAACATTCCTGTATATCATCACTAAATACTGAAATAATAAGAAAGAATGTATGTGTTTGAACCAGTCCTCTTTCTCACGAAGAAAAATAGCCCCAACTCATAGATGGATTTAATTTTGAAATGGGCAGTGAGAGGAAATGGAAGTTGTTTCCATCATGAGCGTCTTCATGACAAGATTCTGATCTAAAAGTCATTGAAGTGAAAAGAAGCATGTCATTGACTGCACGGTCCCTAAGAAGAATGAATGAGAATATACTCTCTGTCCTTGCCTCTTTGTTTAACTGTGAAAGCTTA